AAAACTCAACTCGTCGTGTTTGGAGGACAAAGAATGCTGAGTTGCATCCAAAGAACACCATACCTACTGTGAAGCATGGGGGTGGAAACATCATGCTTTGGGGCTGTTTTTCTGAAAAAAATTTCTCATTTTGTCTGTCATAGTTGACGTGTACCTATGATTAAAATTACAGGCCTCTCTCATCTTTTTAAGTGGGAGAACTTGCACAATTGGTGGCTGACTAAATACTTTTTCCCCCCACTGTATTTTCTTAAAGCTCTGTTAAGTTAGATAGGGAGCAGCGGTGAACAGCAATCTTCATGTGTTTCCACAGATTTTCAATGGGATTCAAGTCTGGGCTTTGGCTGGGCCACTCAAGGACTTTCACATTCTTGTTCTGAAGCCATTCCAGTGTTTCTTTGGCTGTATGCTTGGGGTCATTGTCCCATTGGAACGTAAATCTTCGCCCCAGTCTAAGGTCATTTGTATTCTGAAGCAGGTTCTCGTCAAGAATGTGCCTGTATTTGGCTCCATTCATTGTTCCCTCTATCCTTACCAGTCTCCCAGTCCCTGAAAAGCATCCCCATAGCATGATGCTGCCGCCACCATGCTTCATATTAGAGATGGAGTTAGACGAGTGATGAGCTGTGCCTGGTTTTCTCCAGACATAGCGATTTGCATTCAGGCCAAAGAGTTACATTTATGTCTCATCAGACCACAGAATATTTTGCCTTATGCTCCGAGTTTTTCACATGCCTTTTTGCAAACTCCAGGCGTGCTGTCATGTGCCTTTTTCTCAGAAGTGGCTTCAATCTGGCCATTCTCCCATAAAGTCCAGATTGGTGAAGTGCTTTAGAGACTGTTGTCCTTCCGGCAGGTTCTCCCATCTTAGCCAAGGAACTCTGTAGTTCTGTCAGAGTGGTCATTGGGTTCTTGGTCACCTCCCTGACCAAGGTCCTTCTTGCCCGGTTGCTCAGTTTGGTCGGACGGCCAGCTCTAGGCAGAGTCTGGGTAGTTCCATATTTTTTTCAATTTCCCAATGATGGAGACCACAATGCTTTTGGAAACTTTCAACACTCTAGAAATTGTTTTATACCCTTCCCCAGATATATGCCTCATCACAATTATATCTTGGAGATCTACAGACAGTTCCTTGGACTTCATGGTATAGTTTCTGCTCTGACATGCACTGTCAACTGTGAGACCTTATATAGACAGGTGTGTTTCTTTCTAAATCATGTCCAAATAATTGAATTGGCCACAGGTGGACTCCAATCAAGTTGTAGAATCATCTCAAGGATGATCAAAGGAAATTGGACGCACCGAAGCTCAATTTGGAGTGTCATCATAGGGGTGTGAATACTTACTGTATGTAAATTTGATATTTTTGTATTTCATTTTCAATACATTTGCAAACATTTCTAAAAACATGTTTTCACTTTGTCATTATGGGGTATTGTGTGTTTATTTAATCCATTTTGAATTCAGGCTGTAACACAACAAAATGAGGAATAGGTCAAGAGGGGGGAATACTTTCTGAAGACACTAACTGCCGAGCATAATGGTTGGTGGACATGGAGTTGAACATGCCATTACCCATACTGATGAAGGATCTTACATTTGATCACCCTGTTGCAGGAGAACTTGCAATGCAGGAAATTTAAAACTTGTAGTGTATGAGGTTTAAAAAGGCTTCTGAAGTTTGACATTTCAGTGGAAATTACAGACTTGATTTTCCCTTACGAAAAATGTATCAACCTCTACAACAGGTAGCTCAGTGGTTAAGAGCGTTGTGCCAGTAACCGAAAGGTCGCTGGTTCTAATCCCCGAGCCGACTAGGTGAAAAATCTGTCAATGTGCCCTTGAGCAAGGCACTTAAGCCTAATTGCTCCTGTAAGTCGCTCTGGATAAGAGCGTCTGCTAAATGACTCAAATGTACAAAAATGTCTAACTATAGTCCACATTTCATGTTACTGCCGGATTATTTTCCTGCTGTAGAAAACTGCCTCAAATGAAGAACATAGGAATCCCATTTCAACCTCGCAAAGCAACATGGTAAAAGCATACTATTTTCACATCTTGTTAACACACTCCTTGAGCGAATGGAACTGTGCCTAATAGACCGACAAGGTTATAGTGTACAGTCCTGGAACAAAGGAGTGTTTTACAGCCTGTATTCAAAACAAACCAGCCGTATAATAAAATAAACCTCAGCCTTGTCCAAGGCTGGCTGTTGAGTTACACAACATTTAGATATCCCTTGGAAGTCATTTTACTCCAAAGGTCATAGATATGTATGGTGGATTACAGAGTGAAATTATATTATATGACCAAATTGTGTACAGAAAGATCACTTCTCCAGAGCATAAATAAAACAAAAGAATCACAGATTAAGGTGTGCTAAATATTATTTATTTCCTATTGGAATAATTTCTTCCATGGTTACACCACAACCAGCTCTTCTCATTGGGTGGTTAACAGGACAGTTCTGAGGTATACATATCATTTGAGGAGAGGGGCATTTGGGTCAGTCTTCATCAGTAAGCTGAGACATTGTCATTGCTTTTAACCTCTCTCTCCATCACACTGACCTTTGGGTCAAAGGACAGCCCAAACAATGCAGCTATTTGACATAATAGGCAAGGAATGACATGACATAGGGAATCCAATACCTCAAGCAAAAACACAAGCAATAATCGATGTAATAAATAAATCAATAGAAAATATGAAATTATTCAGGATTTTTTTTTTTGCAAACATGACTGCCTTGCAGAGCATATGAGCGGAGTGGAGCGGGAGCGAGCGTGGAGCGTGAGCGGACGGATTTTGAACAGAGCGCAGAGCGGCATTTTTAAAAGGACGGAGCGTCGCCCTATGTCCCGCTCCAATTTCGCTCGCTCACACCACGAGTCTGAAGCATGCTCAAGCCTGACCCAGAATCCATCTGTTTAATTTAATTTGTGTCGTCCATTAATTTGTATTTTATAGAGCGAGAGGAGCAGCAGCAGCAGCAACAAGAGAAAAGGGTTGAGGAATTCAAAAGTTTATTCACTGCACGCAAAGGCCCAACCATAACAAGGGAGAGAAAAAGAGAGCTGGATGTAGCATTTTTTTAAATGATTTTCATGGACTATGAACCGCTGAGTAAAGGAGAACGCGAAGGGATGCAACACTTCGCCAGCGCAGCTCAACCGGGCTACACTCCCCCAAGAAACTATGATAAATCAGTACTTTACTTTGTCAAATTTACATCTGAGATGCCCCATTCACATGCTTCAGCTGGCGATCAAAAACGCCGTTAACAAGCACGACAACATTAATAGGCTGTTAGTGAAAGTCGGGCACCTGGTGAAAAGTGTACGCAAGAGCACAGAGGAAACCGACCAATTAGGTGTCCGCCCCACAAATGCCTGCGCCATTCGATGGAGCAGCCAGCTGCGGATGATTCAGTCGTTCATCCGGTTGTTCCAAAAAGACCCGTTATGGTAAAACAAACTCAAGTCTAATGTTGCTAACATCACCCTGAATCAAGTACGGCAGCTGACGCACCTTGTCAGTGTGCTGACACCACTAGCAGACCTCACAGACAAAATGCAGAAGGAGCTGGGGAACCTGGGGATGATCCTCCCTGCTGTCACAGAAATCAAATCCCTGCTCACCGATTACACTCACGCTGCACTTCCAATGGGCATCGCTGCTTTTGCAGAAACATTGGCAAACAACGTGTCAATTCGCTATGGAATATACTATACTGATTAACATCTCATTTTAGCGTCAGTGTTAGATCCCCGTTTCAAGACAGAATGGATAATCCGAGATGAGTCTGTATGCAACAAATTCGGGGAGATAAAGTAAGGCTGTGGTTTAAGCTAAAAGTGAAATACATGCAGATTTTGTTCCTTTTTTGGAGTGAGCGGGGGGCGATTTGAGTGGAGCGCGATGCAAACTGCGTTGAGCGCTGAGTGATAATGAGCGGACTGGCCTGATGTGGCTTTGAGCGGGGGGAGCGGAGGGGTGAACAGCTCCGTGAGCGAGGAGCTGAGATTCTCACCGCTCCACTCCGCTCATATGCTCTGCTGCCTTGGAAACACATTGACATGATTCAAAGAATTACATGATTCTTTACATTCAGAATTGTTCAAGTGTGTGTGCTATAATCGGTGATCGGCGTCAGGTTCATTTAAGCACCCTCCTATCTGTTAGCGTGTAAATACTGATGTAGCACTTTAAAAAACAGTCATTCAAGTCAACATAAATACATTAATGAGGACACTGTTACAGTTACTGTACAACCACAAAAACAAAGGCACTGAGGAATATTGTTACTAAATTGTTATCTCCTTTTTGCTCACTTTTGTCTCCCAACTGTAAAAATGTAAAGCATTAATTTGAATAATAAACCCGTTATATGCTTAGAAAATGGTTTACACCTTGGCCGAGCTTAGTTTAAACGGCTACAAAAATGTAAGTCACTACAAAAAACGCCTCCTGCGTCACGACAGGTCAGTTCTCAATGCTACAGCACGTCTTTGAACCAAAACTTGGTAAAACATTTGAGCATGATAAAACCAAACATTTGGAACAACCCAATCGCTGTGACAAACATGTTAATTAATTCAATTTCAGTCACAGAGTATCTGTATCGGTTACAGAGGGAGATATTAGCATTTAACTATAGATTTTCATTTCCTGTTGCTAGCTGAAATAGATCTGGACCTGCCAATAAAATGCTTGCAATCCACCCACTGGAAACCATTGCTTTCAGAGTAGCCTCGAGAGGATAGACTGATTGTTTTCCAATGTGAAATGTTTTGGCTGAAACGATGGTTGGTCACAGCGCTAGCCAGTTGGACTGGAGTGTATGTTACAGGAGCAAGCTAAAGGGAGATGGAACAGCATCAGAGTTCGATAGATAGGGCATCTTCTTTTGATTAGACATGGCACTTTAAAGAGAGTCGTTAAGAGTCCCACCATCATGTCCTCCTGGGAGGGGGGGGGGGGGGGGGGGTCACCTCCCGCTGTCACGGGCACTCTGTGTCGATCCGGCTGTACTTCACTTGACTCCATTGGGCCGGTGGCCATGACAGCGGCATCTGGTAGTTCCGAGGGACGATGCCTGTGACATTCTGTTCCAGGTACTGGAAAATTCGGTACCACCACACCCTTGAGAAAAGGTTGCTCTGCGATGATTCCTTCAGCACCTGTGAAAACAAATTAAAATGTTCATGAATAACACCATTCCATAATTTTTTATACACGTTCAACATACAAGTAATACTACTCTATTACAGGGTAATTACATTGGTTATTCCACTGGTAAGTGTGACCAAATATAGACTTACTTGCTGGTTGGCCATGGTGTGGTACCACCAGAATAGGCGTGTGGTGATGAAGTAAGCCACCACCACGTCTATAGAGTAGTGGTCATGAGCCAAGAGAATGCAGAAGAGGCCTACAGCACAGAGCAGCCAGCAGATCAAATGGTACCACCAGAACCGCTTTGGAGAGTCTGCGAGAAACACAGAAAATACCTTTAAGTCAATGTGACCAATCAGATGTATGTTTTCTCAACAGTCATACATCAGCTTTAACAGCTCGTACAGTTTACCACCAAGTGTCTCCGCTGCTCCAAAATAAACATCACATACTTCACGGGTTTTCACTAAGAAAGGCTACGCATTACAGTTGTGTAGCCTACTTACACTCTTTAATGAAGAGATAGCTGAGCGTCAGCATGACTGTGTGGCCACTGTAAAGGTAGTCCCCACACATGTGGTGCGAGCCAGTGATGGTCAGACCTCCTCCTGCAATCATCTTCATGACTCGGCGCATTTGGGACTCCCAGTCACCAAACAGCTACAACAGAAGAAGAAAAAAACAGCACAAAAGTATGTCAAGTATGCTCCAGAAAGGCATAAGCAAATAGTCAGACTTATTCAACAATAATACAGTAACAACATTTGTGTCTGTGAAATTGGCAAAAGGGGATGTGTTAGCCTACTATTAGGAGCTTGAACGGCACTAACCCGGTTAAACCTCTTCCGCCAGCTAGAAGCTGATCATACGTGATCAGACTAACTTGGAACAAGGCCTCCAGTCAGAGACGCTAGCCCACAGCCAACCGGTTTCAACAGTTGGAAAGCTATCGCCAATTTTGTTAATTCAGTTAGATTCAACAGGAAATGTGAAGCTGTCCGAAATAGGTGAGCGGGCTCATTTGGACAGATAACGTATGGTTTCCTCTGAGGGGATATCCTGGCCTGTGGTGTGCTGAGGGGATGCAGATCTTGGCCTTATTCACTAGGTCTCTACTGTTTGCCTCCCACTATCGTGAGGGGTGGAACACTCAAAAGGAACTGAAACCCTACACCACTGCTTCACGACTGAACAGACCTGCTAAAAGTAGGGAGCATTGAGGTAAGCGGTTGTCACAGTAGGTGAACGAAGTGGTCATACGCAGTCAAATAAATGTTCAAAGCCATTGAGTCTTAAGACCATTTAAAACGTTGGCTACAGATAAATTATCATCTTAACGTGAGGGCATTTATCAGCTTTTACTATAGCATGGCTAAGGAGAAACTGCTGAAGAAACGGGTCTAAATCAAATTGACAGATGCCGTCTACTATCCTTAAAAATATGACCAACGTTGCCACAAATTAAATAAAAAAACCTAAAAAGAGGCATAAATCGTTGGTTTTCGTTTAACGTAAGAACATCTGCAGTTCTTTTTTTAACTGCCAATGATAACTGCCGTTTCACATCCTGCCTGCAATGGAAAATTGGGACCAAAGGGGGTTAAATAGCTGGAAAATAATTTCACTTTTCTCATCCACATAAAAAATGCTTTCTCAGTGCCTTCCGGCTCAGCACTTTCAACATCGACCCGAGGTTCGCAGACATGTTAAGACATAAGCTACTAACTACACAGTCATGTCACTTAGTATGCTACAGGTAACTGCCAAAATAAAGGAAACACTTGAGTAAATGAGGGATACAAAGTATATTGAAAGCAGGTGCTTCCACACAGGTGTGGTTCCTGAGTTAATTAAGCAATTAACATCCCATCATGCTTAGGGTCATGTATAAAAATGCTTGGCAGGCCATTATTTTTGCTATTATTTTGGCTACCATGGCTATCATGGATATGACCCCATAGGATGGCAATGCCCCCATCCACTAGGTACGAGTGGTCACTGAATGGGTTGATGAGCATGAAAACGATGTAAACCATATGCCATGGCCGTCTCAGTCACCAGATCTCAACCCAATTGAACACTTATGGGAGATTCTCGAGCGGCGCCTGAAACAGCATTTTCTACCACCATCAACACCAAAAAAAACAAATGATGGAATTTCTCGTGGACGAATGGTGTTGCATCCCTCCAATAGAGTTCCAGACACTAGCAGAATCTATGCCAAGGTGCACTGAAACTTATGGCTCGTGGTGGCCCAACACCCTATTAAGACACTTTAAGTTGGAAGTTACCTGTATGTTTTTGCATAATGAAATGATGCAACAAAAAGGCTATATTTCTGAGCCCAGGGAGAGGTGGCAAGTACCTTAGGAGAGCACTTGAAATGCATCCCTGGCACAGGGAGAGTGGTTATGTACATGGTGATACACCTGTATAGGTAGAGTGTGCCAACGATGAAGAAGAAACGTCGACCAACGATGGACCTGAGGACGAGAAAGTTGTACATACACAATCAAGACTTGCTGGAGTGCTTAACCAGCACACTGCTAAACATACTTTAACATGGAGTGGATCCTTCAATACGTTCCGGAAGTTATGATTCAAGTCGTTATCAATTACTGTAACATATCTTGTTCATTTACCTATATTTTAACAGCGCCAACTGTAGAAGCCACAGGCTGACCAGTATCATACCGTTGATTTCGCATATGGAAAAAGCCCAGTCTACTCGGTCGAAAAAGTCAAAGAATTTGTCTGGCAGGGGCGGAGTAGCCTCTTTGGGAGGCACTCGTTCATGGACCACGGAGATCATGATGGTGGTGGAGACGAAGCAGATCATGGCGTAGATGCAAGCCACGCCAGTCTTCCCCCACTCCTCAGGGAACGGAGAGCGGTTGATCTCAGGCATGGGGATCTGAACCTGCTCCTTGTGGAACCCATTGATCAGACCGTTCCTCTTGGGCTTGTTCCCATTTACCTCATTGTTGACGGTCAAGATGGAGTGTCCGTTGGCGTGCCCGTTTTTATGTGCTTCAATGTGGTGCTCTATCCTGAGAGTCTCCATCTTGTCCAGGAGCTGTCTGCCTCTGTCCGAGGTGACAAGGGCCAGAGGGGCCGTCTGGAAGTCCGCCTTGGAGAGCTGCAGGAGGCCCTGGCCGTCCAGATGGCGGAAGGCCTCAGAGTATTCCTGCATTCCCTCATTGGTCAGCCACTGGAGCACGTCCTCCGTTGACCACTGGGCCACTTTCTTCATGTCAGCCCCTGTGCTGTACGAATGGCAAACGGAGGGAGAAACTAGGTTGGAAGAGTCCAGAGGTGTTAGCGGTTCGGTCTAACAAATCCAGAGTCCTCCTCAGGTCACACTCATCACGTAGTAAGGACATTGGGTGCTGCCAACACCTGGAGTGTCCAGTCAGGCAAATCTAGAAGTTAATCCATCCTACCAAAGTTTGGGATTGAACTTGCAGGTTTGAAGAAGTGACTATTTTGTCCTAAAATGGGAGAAGAAAAAAAATCAAAAACATTAGGATAAGAGTTCCAAACAATTCATAACACGTTTACAAGTATTCAAACATTACTTTGACATAGGCTATGTAGCAAACAATCAAGTCTATTATATAATGTATGTAACCTATGTAATAGTGTGATGACAAAGCAGATACATTCATTGTAGAAATAAAAAATATATAATGGTAAAAGTCTAATATTCATAATGTAGAGTGCACTAAAATCAAATCACCCATTCAACAGATTCATATATACACAAACACATATATATATATATATACACACACACTGGTGTAAAGTACTTAAGTAAAAATACTTGAAAGTACTACTTAAGTAGTTTTCTGGGGTATCTGTACATTACTATTTATATTTTTGACAACTTTTACTTCACTACATTCCTAAAGAAAATAATGTACTTCTTACTCCATACATTTTTCCTGAAACCCAAATGTACTCATTACATTTGGAATGCTTGGCAGGACAGGAAAATGGTCAAATTCACACACTAATCAAGAGAACATCCCTGGTCATCTCTACTGCCTCTGATCTGGTGTACTCACTAAACACAAATGCCTTGTTTGTAAATTATGTCTAGTGTTGGAGTGTGTCCCTGGCTATCCATAAATAAAAACTAAAAACAATTGTGCCGTCTGGTTTGCTTATTATAAGGAATTTGAAACCTTTACTTTTGATACTTAAGTATATTTAAAACCAAATAATTTTAGACTTTTACTCAAGTAGTATTTTACTGGGTGACTTTCACTTTTACTTGAGTCATTTTCTATTAAGGTATCTTTACTTATACTCAAGTATGACAATTGGTTACTTTTTCCACCTCTGTATACAGTTGAAGTCGGAAGTTTACACTCACCTTGCCAAATACATTTAAACTCAGTTTTTCACAATTACTGACATTTAATCCTAGTAAGAATTCCCTGTTTAGGTCAGTTAGGATCACCACATTATTTTAAGAATGTGAAATGTCAGAATAATAGTAGAGAGAATTATTTATTTCAGCTTTTATTTCTTTCATCACATTCCCAGTGGGTCAGAAGTTTACATACACTCAATTAGTATTTGGTAGCATTGCCTTTAAATTGTTTCACTTGGGTCAAACGTTTCAGGTAGCCTTCCACAAGCTTCCCACAATAAGTTGGGTGAATTTTGGCCCATTCCTCCTGACAGAGCTGGTGTAACTGAGTCAGGTTTGTAGGCCTCCTTGCTCGCACACGCTTTTTCAGTTCTGCCCACACATTTTCTATAGGATTGAGGTCAGGGCTTTGTGATGGCCACTCCAATACCTTGACTTTGTTTTCCTTAAGCCATTTTGCCACAACTTTGGAAGTATGCTTGGGGTCATTGTCCATTTGGAAGACCCATTTGCGACCAAGCTTTAACTTCCTGACTGATGTCTTGACATGTTGCTTCAATATATCCACATAATTTTCCTTCCTCATGATGCCATCTATTTTGTGAAGTGCACCAGTCCCTCCTGCAGCAAAGCACCCCCACAGCATGACGCTGCCACCCCCGTGCTTCACAGTTGGAATGGTGTTCTTCGGCTTGCAAGCATTCCCCTTTTTCCTCCAAACATAACAATGGTCATTATGGCCAAACAGTTCTATTTTTGTTTCATCAGACCAGAGGACATTTCTCCAAAAAGTACGATCTTTGTGCCCATGTGCAGTTTCAAACCATACTCTGGCTTTTTTATGGCGGTTTTGGAGCAGTGGCTTCTTCCTTGCTGAGCGGCCTTTCAGGTTATGTCGATATAGGACTCGTTTTACTGTGGATATAGATACTTTTGTACCTGTTTCCTCCAGCATCTTCACAAGGTCCTTTGCTGTTGTTCTGGGATTGATTTGCACTTTTCGCACCAAAGTAAGTTTATCTCTAGGAGACAGAACGCGTCACCTTCCTGAGCGGTATGACGGCTGTGTGGTCCAATGGCGTTTATACTTGCGTACTATTGTTTGTACAGATGAACGTGGTACCTTAAGGTGTTTGGAAATTGCTCCCAAGGATGAACCAGACTTGTGGAGGTCTACAATTTTTTTTCTGAGGTCTTGCCTGATTTCTTTTGATTTTCATCCATGATGTCAAGCAAAGAGGCACTGGGTTTGAAGGTAGGCCTTGAAATACATCCATAGGTACACCTCCAATTGACTCAAATTATGTCAATTATCCTATCAGAAGCTTCTAAAGCCATGACATCATTTTCTGGAATTTCCAAGCTGTTTAAAGGCACAGTCAACTTAGTGTATGTAAACTTCTGACCCACTGGAATTGTGATACAGTGAATTATAAGTGAAATAATATGTCTGTAAACAATTGTTGGAAAAGTTACTTGTGTCATGCACAAAGTAGATGTCCTAACCGACTTGCCAAAACTATAGTTTGTTAACAAGAAATTTGTGGAGTGGTTGAAAAATTAGTTTTAATGACTCCAACCTACAGTGAGGGAAAAAAGTATTTGATCCCCTGCTGATTTTGTACGTTTGCCCTTGAACAGTGAGAGACAGAATAACAGCAAAAAAATCCAGAAAAACGCATGTAAAATTTTTAATAAATTGATTTGCATTTTAATGAGGGAAATAAGTATTTGACCCCTCTGCAAAACATGACTTAGTACTTGGTGGCAAAACCCTTGTTGGCAATCACAGAGGTCCGACGTTTCTTGTAGTTGGCCACCAGGTTTGCACACATCTCAGGAGGGATTTTGTCCCACTCCTCTTTGCAGATCTTCGCCAAGTCATTAAGATTTCGAGGCTGACGTTTGGCAACTCGAACCTTCAGCTCCCGCCACAGATGTTCTATGGGATTAAGGTCTGGATACTGGCTAGGCCACTCCAGGACCTTAATGTGCTTCTTCTTGAGCCACTCCTTTGTTGCCTTGGCCGTGTGTTTTGGGTCATTGTCATGCTGTAATACCCATCCACGACCCATTTTCAATGCCCTGGCTAAGGGAAGGAGGTTCTCACCCAAGATTTGACGGTACATGGCCCTGTCCATCGTCCCTTTGATGCGGTGAAGTTGTCCTGTCCCCTTAGCAGAAAAACAACCCCAAAGCATAATGTTTCCACCTCCATGTTTGACAGTGGGGATGGTGTTCTTGGGGTCATAGGCAGCATTCCTCCTCCTCCAAACATGCCGAGTTGAGTTGATGCCAAAGAGCTCAATTTTGGTCTCATCTGACCACAACAGGTTCACCCAGTTCTCCTCTGAATCATTCAGATGTTCATTGGCAAACTTCAGACGGGCCTGTTTATGTGATTTCTTGAGCAGGGGGACCTTGCGGGCGCTGCAGGATTTCAGTCCTTCACGGCGTAGTGTGTTACCAATTGTTTTCTTGGTGAATATGGTCCCAGCTGCCTTGAGATCATTGACAAGATCCTCCAGTGTAGTTCTGGGCTGATTCCTCACCGTTCTCAGGCCGAGGGAGATTGACAGTTATTTTGTGTTTCTTCCATTTGCGAATAATCGCACCAACTGTTGCTCCTAATCTCATCTTGTTACATGTATAAAAGACACCTGGGAGCCAGAAATCTTTATGATTGAGAGGGGGTCAAATACCTATTTCCCTCATTAAAATGCAAATTAATTTATAATTTATAGTTTTTCTGGATTTTTTTGTTGTTATTCTGTCTCTCACTGTTCAAATAAACCTACCATTACAATTATAGACTGATCATTTCTTTGTCAGTGGGTAAACATACAAAATCAGCATGGGATCAAATACTTATTTTCCCTCACTGTAAGTGTATGTAAACTTCCAACATCAACTGCATGTACACACACACACACACACACACATACAATATTGCACGCACACAGGACCACACATTTAGACACTAGCAAGCGCTCTCTCGTTCAGGAGGACATTACTTCTATTTTGGAAAACAAAGCCTCAACTATCCGTTCAAAAACAAAGCCTCAACTATCCGTTCAAATACCAGCGAAAAGTGCTTTCAGGTGAGGAATTAGCCCACAGCTACGTAACACTGTTATTTCATAAACACACCGCGTCTACGACTTTGTAACTATTCAACCATTTCTGATATTATTATTGTGTATCAATACAGTATAGTTGAGAAAGCAACTTCCGTGTTGAGAGTCGTATACGTTTAAAATGTGTAGGCTACATTGTCGCACATTTTTTTCACGCTCTGTGGAATAATTGACGACAAATAACCTGTTACCTTGTTGCTGCTGTGTTGCGGAATGAACAAACCCAATCCGACAATACGCTACTCCTCATTAGAAAATGAACCAACCGGCAAGTTGAGGCAAATTTATGTGAAGCGCGGGTTAGGGGAAACATTCCAACAGTTTGCTCACAGGGTGGGGCACTGTTTACAAATTGGTTTCGAGAGAGGGGGATGGTTTTTTACATTAGCAAAAGGCTTAAAACCCCATAATAGTGCCTCTTCTCCAGATAATTACATCAGAAAAGAAGCGTCACTTATTTTTAGTGGAGTGGATGACACCCATATCGTCACCCGTTATCTGTGATACACACAATACTTCTGATAAAACTGACAGCAACAGAAAGTGAGAGCTAAGGTGTCCCCCATAATCAATTAACGCCTCGATAACACCGATTGTGCTATTTGAGCAAAATGGAACGCGGCATCATCTCAACATTCAACTTCTGCTACCATTTCTGTCAAGCCGTCTACACATACAGTTTGACGCATACATTCGATAAGTCCAACATGTGCACCACAAAGAACGCACTGCTTCAACGCTGCAAGTCAAACGCAGCGATCCATTATAAATAAATGTCCTTCTGGCGTACTAAACTGCAATGAAACTGTCAGTGTGATCGAGGCATAACGATGGTCTATGCGTTCTATGGAAAATAGCGCGTCGTGGAACATACCTTCCATGGAGTTGCATTATGTTCGAGAGAAAAGCCCAGAGCTGATTATCCCTTTTATACAATGGATATAATTTTACACATTTGCCCGAAATAAAATGTGTTCA